AAGATTAATGGCAATCAGTCAGCATAACATACTGACACACACAACCCTGTGAGTTAGTCATGAAGCAGCAATCAGTGTAACGTGTGCCCCAAGATACTAGAGGTGCAACTTAGTGGCTTCTGTGATGGTCTCTGGATGTGTTCTTGCTGCTGTGAGAGGGTTGTTATATGTGAAAGGACATGCTTATTCAAGAGAAACACTGATACCGTGGGGAAATTATGAGAAGGGTTCATCTGTCTGGTGCTCCACAGATGGGTTATCCTGAACGTCCAGACCTTCAGACTGTTCTGGGGGAAGTTTCTGCGAAGATTGATGCTGTGAGTTCATAGAAAGAGTGTATCTGGTGAGTGGAAGGCTCAGACTTAAATTTCCAGAAGCTCGCAGGCCATGGTAGGTGTCTGAGATGGCAGCCTGTCTTCTCCAGTCAGTGCCAAGGATAAACTTTGCATTGGTATGGGGTAAGTAGAGTAGAGAGCTTTGTGCCTTCCGTAGTTACAAACAAGCCACTGAAATGTGGTCAGTGGGAAGGTTGCTGTAGAGTTTGGCGCTGATAAACTCCTCTTTCTGACATTGACAGCTTCTCTCTTTTTATTTTGTCCCCGTATAGAGCCCAAGTCTTCAGACCTCTGATCCATCCTGAGAGGAAGAGACTTTATTTGCATGGGCAAAAATTGTCATGGCAAGAGAGGGAAGGAAGAATAAAAGAGGGGGTAAATGTTGGAAAGGCAAAGTAGTCAGAATGTAATGTGACAGAGATGAGGCCAAATAAGCTAAACACAAAGCTAGACTAAAACAGCTTAACGAAAAATACATAATTTAATGTTATGATGATACTGACTGTAGAAATGTAAGGCACATTAGATGGATACAAAATATGGGGAATAAGCTCCTGTGATTAAATGAAAAAAAAGTATTCTTTTTTTTCCTACTGTTTTTCTCTTCATGTGTTCAGTGGATTTACCTGACTTAGTCGTAATGCAGAACTCGGGATTGTCTTACCATACAAGAGGTCGTCAGATAAAAAGCACATGATTTAAAGCAAATGTGCCCTCCGAAACAGTCATTTCTAAGTAAGAGTAACAAAGCATAATGTAATTAAAACAACTGTCTACAGGGTTTATGTACAATCACATTGAGTAGAGACTACCTTTAATTTCATTGTAAGGTCAGGCACATAGGGAGGAAGGGTTGATGCTGTCTCTCAGACAGCAGTAATCAACGGCTGGCAACTCAGCTTTGGAAATTGAACAGATTAAAAGTTCTTGGCAGTGATTCCCAAATGCTCAGGAGACTCAATGCAATCAGCAGCTTTGACATTTTGGCCAGCTAGTTAAATAGCGTTGGCTATAAACATTATGAGGCAAGTGATCACCCCCTTATGTGCTAGGCCCGGGGCATACGCTTCCTGCCTTCTGTCTTGGGAGCCTCTAAACCAATGACCTCTTTGATGATATCCTGTGAATAACTTTCCAGATCATAGTGAAGAAGAGGAATTTGCATTGTTTGCATGTTAACCGCAACAGTGAGTACCAGAGAAGGGAGACAAGGGTTCATACAGGATTTTGCAACTAAGCATAAATGACAGCTCCCTAAGTCTACTGAATTTGAACCTCCTTTGCATTGTTTAGCCAAGAATAAGTGCTGCTTCATATGGACGGTTCATAGATCAGACTGAAAAGAAAATCCGCATACATGCAACTCTCTAAAGTACAGTATTTGTTTATTTGTTTGTCCATTTATTTTATGGGAAAAACTACTCATAGAGGCGGTTTCCCCAGTGCAAGTGCCTGAATTTAGGAAACTAAATCTATATGTAAACAACAAAAAACAAGATCTGTACAGATATTTGCATGAATGCATGAAACTGGAATTGCGTGCATGCATAAGCAATTGCAGGACTACATTTGCTTGCAAATCCAGTTTAGTGCTGAAGAATTCAGGTGATATGGTAGTGATAGTTAATATAGCAGTGCAGTATGGTTAATTTAGCAGTTACACTATACCTGTTTCTTTGCAATTGCAGTAATTTGTTGTAATGGCCAGGGAATTTGATCCCATGAGCGGCAGTGGGCTTACACGTTTGAATTAAGCTACCTGGTTTTGCATACTTCTTTTGCATGATACCGCAGAAATGATGACTGCAGGCTGGATCTAAAACCACATGTAACAAAGTAGTCTGGCACAACTTCTCAGTGGGCCTGAGAAAGCAGAAGTGAAGCCAGCGGCTGAAAGTCACATTCTCTGTGAGGGTAAGAAATTAAGCCCAGTTCATTGGGAGCCTGGACAGTAACATTAGGATGTACCAATAGCTGAAGACATTTTCAGTGGGCAAGGTTAGTTTCCGGTCTCTCCCCTCTTCTCCATTCCTGGTAGTTAATAATAATTAGTCCTAATTAATAATATATAAATATATAAAATATAAATTAAAATTAATTAGCAGCAATAAATAGTCATTGTCAAGAAGGCAGAAAGAGGAAGACAGAAGATATTTTTAAACATCCAACTTGTCAATGGGATTGTCTACTTCATTTTTTCCCACTATTCCTTGGAGGACATTTCCTTCATTACATTTCCTAATCCCGTTTAGGTATTAAACCAAGACCCAGTGAAATCAGCAGGAGTATGCCACTTGCCTTGTTGGGCATGATCCATTGACCTTCAGGTGTTACAGTTGTTTGACCTTCTAGTTTGTCATTTCCAAGGTGTGACAGCACATTTCTTATTTGGATTGGTGCAGTCTAATGAGCACTCTCTGAATGCAGTCAGGGAGGCGTTAATCCCTCTAAGCCGTCAGATGGCAGTCAGGAGTTCATCTTTCAGATGGGGAAGTAGCCAATTCCCACTGGCAGACCAGCTAAGTAACTCTTCAGAGGGATTTAGCTGCACATGGCCACCATCTAAAACCAAATACTTCCGTATGAAATGAAGAGTATGCAAGTGTAGACTACAGAATTCAAAGTTGCTTTTTACCATCAATCTAAGTTTTAGAAGACTTCTTCAAATACATAGCAATGTACCTATTAGATTTGTAGGAGTGGATGGAGTGGAGCTCAGCTTTGCTGGCCCAGGTTTGCAAGATGTACCAAGAGTAGGATCTTAACTGCAAGGATGCATTCAAAGCAAGGCCCCAGCCAAGTGAACGTAGGTAGGCTGCCTCGTCCAGGGAGTTGCAAATGTGGCAAAGGCATTTGCTGCCCACCTGAGCCAACACCTTCGAGAGAAGCATCTTGCTCCTCTTGAAGTAGATCTCTGGGATGTAGTCCCTGTAGTAAGGAAGAAGATTATCTTCAGTTCTTTAATTGCTTAGTTTCACCTGCTGGACACAGCTAAAATGAGTGCTTAATTCACATCTGAGAATGAAGTTACATCTCAAGAAGCAAAAATAGAAAACATAGTGCAGAAAATGAGTTAGAAGACTGAGGCAACACATGTGAAGCAATGAAATATTCATGTGAAAAGAGAAATTTTCAGAATGATTAGGGAACCTCTGGGGGGCTGAGCTTCTGTTTTAAGATACATGGTGAAGGTGAAAGAATAAAGGAAAACTAACAGTGCAGAAAATGCTTTTGACCTCTGTTTGTGTAGCTGTTAATTTCTGTCACACCTGCTTTGATACCAGGGGGGTGTTACCATCTCTACTCTTTTTTAGCTCTTGGATTTGGGTGGGATGGGCCTTTCTAAGTCCAATAAACTGTTTTTTCAGCCAGCTTAAGCACAGCATCAGATAAATATTTCAAAGTGTGTGATTTGCACCAGCACCAAGGAAATGAGTGTGGAGAGACAGACAGTAATCTGTGATATATATTTATTTGAACTAGAGCCAAGCAATTCCCCTTAGTTAACTGTGTCTCAGCAGTTTTCTCCTGATAAAATAATTAATATGCAGATAGCTGTTGCCCAGCTATCCTTCACTCTCATTTTTTGGTTTGCATACTTTATGGCATTGCTTCAAAAGCAATCCAGTAATATCCTTGGCAAATTGATCTCTCTCCCCTGACTAATGGTCTCTTTTAGCAAGTTCTCTTTCCTTCAGTGTGTATGGCCATAATGTGCCTGCAGTGTAAGGCTCTCACAGAATCACAGCATGGTTGAGGTTGGCAGGGACCTCTGAGGGTCATCTGGTCCAGCCCCCCTGCTCAAGCAGGGCCACCTAGAGCCAGCTGCCCAGGACCATGTCCAGATGGCTTTTGAGTGTCTCCAAGGATGGAGGCTCCACAACCTCCCTGGTCACCCTCACAGTGAAAAACCGTTTTCTGATTTTCAGAGGGAACCTCCTGTGTTTCAGTGTGTGTTTCAGTGTGTGCCCATCACCTCTGGGCATAAGGAATAAGGGAAGTAACAGGCCACAGTTCGCAGCTTTGTGCCACTGCCTTCTGGTCAGGAGAGCAGCTCCAAGACCCAGCAGGAGAGCTGTAAGACCTGAAAAACTCTCTGCTGTCTCTCTTGTGAGCAGTTAGATGGGCCCCTGTAGCTTGTGCACTTCACCTGGATTGAGCTGGCAGAAGTCAGGATGTGCATCTGCGCTCTCAGTCTGCTCCTTAGGACTTCACAGCTTTTTCTGTTGTTACGAGTCTGGTGGTATATGTGTGCCTGTCCCCGACATGACGGGAGCCTCATCTCAGCTCAGAATGTGGAAGAGTCACTCTACGGCTGCCATGGGCACAAAAACTGCGGACAGAGCGGGACTTAAAATCCTGTAACCAGCAATTGTAATTTAGCTGTCTAGGGAGAGAGCAAAGCAATAAATGACACCCTCCCCACCAATGCCCCCCCAAAATAATTTTCTTGTTACAGAGCAGATGAGCTTTTGCTGTAAGCTGTGATGCCCTGTCAGAAGTTGGCTTATTATCTGGTTATGCTACTGAAAAATTGTCGTGAGACCACACAGTACTAATCATCTTCTATACCTAGAAACCTTACTGTGACCCACAGTAAGATTTGAAACAAAAACGCAGAAAGTGTTAACACAGGTTTTCTTTTTCTTTCCTTGTCAACTGCAGGTAATGCAGGTAGTGAAAGAACAGATAATGAGAGCGCTCACTACCAAGCCTAGCTCTCTGGATCAGTTCAAGAGCAAACTTCAGAATCTCAGTTACACAGAAATACTGAAAATACGCCAGTCTGAAAGAATGAACCAGGAAGATTTCCAGTCTCGTCCGATTCTGTAAGTACTGTCTTCTCTCCCCACTCGTTTTTGCATGGAAGGATTAACAAATGTGAATGACATTTGTCAGCTCTTCTGTGGCAACCCAAGGAGGAAAGCTGTCCAGGGAGCCATGCTCAAAAGCAGTAGTGCAGCATCTGCTTGAAGTGCATTGTGTTTTCTTCTGGTGGGAATCCTAACTTTTTCTTTGAGTTCGGTTGAACCAGATTGAGCAAATCCCTACAGAGTCTCGCATGGCTTATTTGTATGAAACAATGCTTTGACATTTCCTAGCTTCGCATGATTGTGAGTCTGGTTTTGGTGCTGGTAGTGGCTTTTTAAAAAAAGAAAAAAAAAACCACCACAACTTTGTCTTCTGTCCAAGGGCCTTTAAAAATTCCAGATGTTACTTCCCTGAGTGAGACAGGGAGAAGCCCGGAAGAGGAGGAGCCAATACACACTGGTTCCATGAAAGAGTGGTGTCGTGTGTATGACTCTTTGTGGTTTTATCTTTGGTGTTAATGGCAAGCAGTTACTTACATGTAAATGATAACATTCTGGTGGCTAGCCAATGGGATTCTCATTTCCTTGTTGTTTACTGCAAAGTATCAAATGCTGATATCGCCACCATAGCTCCTTCCTGTTTCTCAGAATACCCTTTGTTCTGTTACGTGAAAAATGGAGGCCATACTTGGCTCTGGACCATATCTGGGCTTGTGGCTGAACTGATGGCACAGGACAGATGCAGACTCCATGGTGCACAAATGATGTGCTGAGAATAACAGGAACCTTCTGAGATCAGCAGAGAAATGGTGAGGACTCCAGAAGCATCAGCTGAAATGTCATGGAATCCTGATCCTGTTTCAAGTGGAACAGCTCGTGATTTTCTGAGTCTCCTTTTCAAAGCAAATGTATAGAGAAGGGTTTGGACCAGAGCATTTCAGGATTCAGAGGCAGGATGTTCATTTTGATTTGTTTCTAAAGGATACAAATACCTAAGTACAAGCTCTGGGGACACATTCTTCCAGGGGCAGCAGGGCAACAGCGGAAGGATAAGTTAAGTAGAATTTACACACTTAAATTTTGATCATGCCAATGTGGATCAAAGGGGGAATGCTTCTTTTATATTTTCAGTGTATTAGAAGGTAGGACCTAGTGCCCAATTAGAACTGATGTCACTCATAGTAATGCATCAATTAAAAAACTACAAATGGTTCCAGTCAGTTTTGCATCATTACACTGCTCAGAAATCCCCTGCCAATCCCCTGCAATGTTTAGTGGTTCAAAGCCACACAGTACTGCTAAGCTTGTCACCAAAGCTGCTCGTTTTCCCTGCTTTCCCTATGAGTCAACTGTTGAAGTATGATCCAGGCCAACTGTTTATATTCTCTTGCACTATCACCTAGTCTGATGAAACTTGCCAGTGCCCTCTGCAAGCTCTTTATTTCCAGTCTCACTCTGGCTAGTTGCTGCCACAGTGCGGAGTCTTCTTCCCCATCATGGAATGAGTGAAACAGCCAACACAAATAGTTAAAAGCAACTGAAGTGTTACCAGAGTCTCATTTCAGATTCAGGACAAAGGCTATAAAGGCTAAGTAAATCGATAAGGTGTTTAAGCAATCACAACTGCATTTGCAGAGATTTAACTCTATGCATTTGCATTTTGATTGCACCCATGATCACTTATTCTTGACTGTGAAAAGAAACAGTTCTTTCATTTTCCCCTTTGATTCGATTCCCTGTACTGAACTCTCTCAAATTGCATAGATGGCACAATTGATAGAAGTACAGAATCATGGCCTCATTGTAGGGAAAGAGACTGTGAATGAAGAGAGCAATCGTGGCTGTGCTGTATATTTTAAAGCCTTGCAGATACGCTAAAAGAAATTGCGTGCAACGGTGAATGTAAAGTCGGCAGGCCTTGTTTAATTCTGCATGAGAATATGGCAATCAGATGATGTTTTTTCCTGCCTTGAACGTGACAGAAGTCTTTCTTCTGCTGTTCATTCTATAAATCACTGAAGTTTTAAGTTTTTAAGCTGCTGGATGAGAGAAGCTTCAGTTAAGTTGGATTTGAATGTAAGCTGGAAAGTTTTGCCTTAGATCCTCGTAACTACAACAGCCTTGTTTAGCACAGATTGTTTCTTTTATACGAGCATTGTTGCATCACATGAGATTAAGTTTTTTCAATTTCAGAACAGAATCCTTTTAAGATTCTAGGATCATTATTGATCATCCAAACTGCCATTCCACAACAAAATGATAAAGTATCACTGGTTCATTTTTAATAGCTGTAGAAGAAGGTGTCTAGGAATCCTGTGAGCCTGTAGAGGACCAGAGGTCTCCTTGACACGTTAAATGGCAACAGAGATGGGTTAATACTGGATAAAGATCTGAAGTCCAAGTGGAGGCTTGCTGTTTAAAGCAGAGTTGATGTCAGCTACGGAGCCATTGCTAAGTAACATCTGTGTGAAAATCTGCAACATACAGGGAAATAGAGGGAAGGATGTGAATGCTTTTTGGCTTTTATCTTACCGAGTTCTCTGCAGTGTTAGAAAGAGTCACTAACGCCTACTCTGAATGTGCAAAGTGATTAGGAGAGGGCATAGCTACAAGCCAGAAAGATAGAAGGTCAAAACACATGAAAGCAGTTCTGGGATAACTCTTCTGTTGTGTTGTAACGATTTAAATGTCTGTAATATGCCCCGTCCTGGAAGAAAAACAGCTACCAAGAAAGAGTCTTAACTATAAGCTGGAAGGGTAAAAGCTTGGGACGGATATAAGTGGTGCTGAAGAAAAACTAATACAATTTGAATAATTTAAAAAGAATTTCTAATCATTTCAGGTTTGCCGAATTCAGGTCTGTTATTTTAAAAGCAAGTAACTGATGTTCAGTATGGCCTATAGTGCCGAGAGCAGTGGGATCAGAAAATTAGCGATCATATATATTACTGTGTGGTTCCCTCAACCCTTCTGTCTTACTAGCCCACTAACTTTTGCCATTCTTACATGACAGGAACACAGTAGGGAACTAATAGCAATTTTTAAAGCTGCTGCCTCCTTAGACTTTCTGAGTTTGTTCTCTCTCTCTTTGCAAGGCACGAACTGTTAAGCCAATGTCATCTGAAAGACAATAAATAAAATTGTCACAAAACATGTTTGCATTTATGTTCTTCCTTTAGCTCATTGTTCCTGTTTGATTTTAAAATTAGTCAGGAGGACCTATTTCTTATACAGAGATATTTTTTTCCTAAGCCTCCTCTCTTTAGACACTGACCCTGAGGAACTGAACTCCCTTGCCTTCAGATGGCTTTCTGAAGGAAATATAAAGATTTAAAGCAGCACATCTTTTGTTTAACTGTGTGCCAGGGTTTGATTTTTCTGCTCCATTTCTCTCACCTTGAAATGGTGGAACTGAAACCTTGACAGTGAGGAGCACTACGTGGCAGGACCACCTTGCAAAAATGTATCTGGAGTCATGGTATCTGAAAAATAGCTGAAAACCATACAAGTCAGAGTAACCATGTGTTGGCATGAGCTGCTGAGGACAGTAAGTGCGGGTGACCATGGCAAAGGATGGGATGGACTTACAGGGTGTCACTAAAGTCCAAAGTCAGTGAAGACTGTTTCTCTGTGGAGTAATGAGTTGTCTCCACAACCTCTGTGTGTTCAAGTTTGGGGACTGTAAACCAGAAGAGAGTACTACCTCTGAGCTTCACGGTTATGAGAGCAAATATATGCATGTGTGTAGAGGGACTCCAGCACATCAGCAAAGAGGCGGAAGGTGTCCCTTCTTTCCTACCTCCCTTCCTCCTGTGCAAAGTCTGCCTTAGACAGTGAAGCACTTCAGAGAGGATTACCTGTTTATTTTTGGATTGTTAAAAATCCTTCTCTTCCTCTGGTTTCTAAAGGGCAGATGGGGCTTTAGAGGACAGAAGAGGGAATGCTGTAAGCGAACAGTCAGATGTTAAAGTGCTGGGTGATGCATTCATTTTTGTTTTTTAAGTAGTGTCTTACAACTATGATGCTATGATGTCTTTAACACCTATTTAATTATAACCATCCAATTTCTGAATTAAACTACCTACATATCAAACTACCTAAATATCAAACTGTTGTTTATACCAATCTTGAATGTTTGAAATCAGGCCAACTGGAGATTTAGTCTGCAGCCTGGACTGTTGAGTAATCCACACTGTATCTTAACACTGTTCTCCTCAGCCCCTCCTCCCAGCTTTTACCTGAGGAATGGGGAAGCTCATCAGCTCAGTAAAAGGCAAGACATTTATTCAAGCACAAAATTCTTCTACTCAGAGTATTTAACCATTCAGCATATTCATATCTTAGTTCCCAATGAGAAAACAACAGTGCTTGAAAATTTTCCTAAAGGACTAATAATATATTTCTAAAAGGTGGCCTCTTTCTATAGTTACAATGCTTTCTTGATTTTTGACCAGCTAGATTTTCACAGCTTGTAAATATGCAGTGGGTTATGCATCAAGAACCCAAACCATTTTGTTAATACCTGTGAGAAAGGTGGCAGTTTTGTTTAAAGGCCTGATCTTTCTAGAGAGGATTTCCAGTGATTTCAGTGGGGGTCTGGCAGATCAGAGGTATAGGAACCAAATGAATGTGGAAATCAGCAGAGACTGGGTTCCCTAAGTTTTCAAGAGGAGGGAAATTTTTGTTGTCTCTATGGGATACCACAGCTTTGCTTCCTTTTGATGACTATTGCTGGAACATACTGCCAGACAGAATGATTTTTGGTATTACCTAATTTGCACAGCAATGCAAAATTATGGTTCTGACACACTTCATATTTTATAAATCCTCTACACATTCAGTTATTTTTTAATCTTACTAGGCTTGCTGTCAAGTTGATGTTTAAACCTGTCTTTTATGTATTCTTAATGAACCTAAGTGAGGTTATAACTGATGAATTCAGACATCTGTGAATCCATGTGATGGTGTATGAAATCAAACTTCACATGCTATGTGCATACGTTTTCTGCCTAGTTCTTGACATGTTGAACTCGTATCAAAGTAGGATGTAGAAAATGGATTTTCTGAAGGTTATATAATATTATTTCTAAATGTGCTGCAGGTTTCTGCACTCCTGGGCAAAGGTGAAGTTTGATCCTTGAGCAATCCCTAGTCATGGGTTAGTCTTCCACAAAATTCTGATAATAATGGATGAATTGAATGGCGTGGAATTAAAGAGCAAGCATAGAGCACTGGTCATTATTTTAGCTCATTGGCATTGTTCACTGGTTTTCATCGTTGTTTTCATCGTTGTTTCAAAATGTGTTTTAGCCTTCTTGTGTTGTCCTAAATAATAGTGCTAGTAAAGTATACCGGCAGATGATTGTGCAACAAAAGGTGACAGACCCTCAAATAAGGTTCACAGTGCTCCTACGATGAAAGAGCATTATTTGCCACAGAAAAACCTTGTTGATGCATTATAGCAAGCGTTATTTTTAGATGAGTAAAGTAAGAAACAAATAAGTGACTTGCCTGAGTCATACGCTGATGTCGTAGCAGGGAGATGTCTACAACAGAGATATCCTGACTCCCATTCTTTGTTATAAGAAAAAGGGCTTTTTACTGGAGCAGACTATATTCTGACCTGGGCCTGTTGTGACTGCTGTCCCCTTCAAACTCCTTGCAGAAACGTCTTGTGAGACTCTGTCTCAGAGGAAGGAGGATGGTCTTTGATTGAATTTGACAAGTCCCTACTTTCTCTCTTCCCAAGGGAACTAAAAGAGAAGATTCAGCCTGAGATCTTAGAACTGATCAAGCAGCAACGTCTCAATCGACTTGTGGAGGGCACCTGCTTTAGGAAACTCAACAGTCGACGTCGACAAGGTACAGCTCAGACTGCCTAGTCTGGCTTTTTATTGTCACTTTTGTCTAAAAGTTGAGATGAGGAATACTACTTTTACTGGCAAGATCCTTGGTTGTAGTGCTGTCTTGACTGCTTTTACCAGGGGGCATCTGAAAGCATCTCCTAGTTACAGTTGTTGTACGATTTCCTGTGTTTTCCTGGAACTGCTTTTGGCTTCATCACACACATCATCTGGAACAAGTTTGACAAAAATCTCAAGCAGCAGTCTTGCACTCTGACCTGAGTATTTTGACTTCTGCCTGGGTGTCCAGGCTTCTTGTTCACCTCAAAACAAAATCTCTACCTCTGCAGGAATAGCACATGAAACTTGGTGTAGCCAGAATTTTAATATCTCAGACTTGGACCACCTTTATATATGTGATGAGCTCATTCTGCACCCCTCCCTCTAGTACTGCCCATGCTTGGGGTTTGTCTTATATTACCATATACATTAAATATATTATGGTGTTTAAATATACTTTTTAAAAGCACTTAGATCAGTAATTTGTGTACCTTCAGATGAACACTTGATTGACATGAGAAGATTATTTTCCCAATCCTATGAGTCATTGCTCAGCATTACGTTTACAGCTCATTTTATACAGTCAAACTCTCTATGGTTCTTTTCCCCTCAGAGAGGCACGCTTCTTTCTCTAGACAAAATAACGGGACCATAGTGTAAATTCAGCAGATTAATTACAAGCTGTATCCAAAAATTTCCCTTTAAAACCCTCATTTTGTGAGGATGCAGATTGCCATTTGTTTTCTGCTGTAAATACAATATAAGTTAGAAAGTTACAAAAGCTAAGAGTAAGAACTGACAAAGATCAATATTTGAGACCTTCAGATCAATTGGGGAAAACTGCTTTCTTCACAGAGATTAGTATTCCTGCAATGCCTCCTTCCTTAGAAACAAGGAGGCAATTTTCCTTAATGTACGGAGGTTATTTTGGAAAATTTCAAAGCCTTTATGAAAGGGTTGAGTTGCAGAAAAATGTGTTGCAGCTTTATATCCTGTCAAGCCTACAGACACCTATGAAGCCCACTGCACAGAGTTTAGGGGAAGAGCATTAATATTCCACTGTGACTTTCTGTACAGATTTCATAGGGAAGCATGATACATGTTTTCCCTTCAGCAGCATATTCACGGAGTGAAAGTAGCTGAAGTCATGCGTAGTTTGTTTGGCTGTCAGTAGTGAGGGTTGTTTATTTTATTCTTCTCAGAACCTTAATCCGAATGACTGAAATTCTAGGGAAGGAGCAGGGTTTGTGGCAAACATTCTTCTTTTGGCAGATCTCCAAGAGGAAGAGAGACGTTATTTTATCTTAAACTGTTGTTAGTTCATGATTTATAGGATCAAAAGCTTTAAGGGATATAAACTGGTTCAAATTATATGAGTGGAGTTGAAGTTAAAAAAAATCTTTAATAAAAAAAAAAATCAACCTAATCTTCTGGTCCACAGTTGAGAAGGTTTCTATGTATCATGCCTTGGAGTGAATTGTATAGGCCACCAGATTAATTGGTTTGATGTCATATTTATAAAGGGCCAAAAAAGTTCACAATTCTTTGGAAACAAATAAAACGTGCGACCATGCCTCAAAGAACTTGACCTTCTCTAAAATACATTGGGTTTTGTCAGATACAGGCCCATTTAGAAGGGCATGTTTCCATATCCCCTGAAGAGTTGTGTGTGCTTTACCTTAGACTCCCTGTATTCCCTGAAACAGAAGTGTCAGTTATACCCTGGGAGGGAGGGAGAAGACACAACCGTTGCAGAAGATAATGATGCATGAGGCCACCAGGACTAAACTCAGTAAGCTCTAACGCTGTGCAATCTAATGAAGAAGCAAAGCATGGTTTGTAAACACAAGTACGTTTGGTGTATAAGCCATTCAGTTGGGATCCTTTTTTAGGTATGTACAGTGCCTGGCACAGTCCAAATAGTAAATAGTGGCAGCTGGCACAAAGCAGAAGCAGCTGTCTTGAAATCAGCCTTTATCCTTCAGGGTCTCCTGTACCCCAGGCAGAGCAAGCTTTAAGAGCAGGGCTGTCATGATGTCAAGAGCTAGGAGGTGAAGTAAAGTGAATGGAGGACCAGAGGTTTAGCTAGTGGTACTAAACATTGGGACAGTCAAGCTTTCAGACAATTCCTGTGAATGTCCTGATAAAAATAGTACAAGTCCCAAATTCCTGAGTTTGTCTTCTGTTAGCCTTACCCCACCTCCCCATTTCCTCTCCCCCAACCCACCTCTGTGTACGTGTGCCCTGTGCTAGCTGGAGGTTCAGGACCCCCATCACCTGCCCGGTGCTCCAACTGAATTCACTTGCCACAGAGCATTACCAAGGCCCTCGAAGGGCTGTGGTCCATCCAGGTTGATATGGAGCTGAAACAGGAATGGGGAGTGCTGTGAGGCATCACGATTTGCCTGTTATGTGGCAACCTACTTGTAAGAGTAGTAAGATCAGGTAGGAGTTTTACTTTTGTATGTATACTGCCTGTTTTACCTTTCCTATGATTCTTTTTTTCCCTTGAGACAATCCTGGAAAAAATGTCACAAATCTGCAGATTGTACAAGAAGAACCTGAACGTGCCCTATACAGGAGAAGCTGAAAGCATTAAATTGCCCATTTGAAAAATAATTAACAGGCATTATTTCCCGATAAAGACTCCAGAGCAAACTTCTGTTAAGACTGTTGTTTGAACATGTGGTAGAACACACATGGTTAGTCACAGTAAGTTGAAAAAAATTGCTTAAAAAAAAATGAGCAGGGAGTTTACAGAGCCTCTTACAGCCCTTTGCGAAGAGGTGAAATACATGCATACATACTTGGCATTGGAAAGCCTGTAATCCAACAGGTGATTCATTGAGGGAGATGCTGAAGATAAAGCTGTGAGGTGTCTGTAGTCAGATCTCTGCCTTTTGTGTTTTGGCACAGGATTATCCTATCAGCAGGATCTCTCTGTAGCCAAAATTCAGAAATAACATTGTTGTCCCAGCAGGATCCTTAGCACTTTCAAAGAATATATGGCCTTTCCCTTTCAAGGTTTCGTAGGAGAACTGCAGCACTAAATCCTGTTTTTATTAAGCTTTCCTAATCAGTTGGAAATGAAACAGTAAATCCCCACTTTGTTCCTTGACCGTGGACATCAGCTGGCAGATAGACCTCTTCAGCTTTCTCCTTCCTTAGTTAATTCTGAAAAGAAAGGGGAGAAGACTGAAATGAAAGCCTGCAAAGCACTTTACAACCCCAAAAGTTATTATTTCCAGTAGAGCTAAGTAGCAGATAAAGGCATGTTATTGAGGATAATAGATACTTCTGATGCTGTCATCCAGTACATTTGTAGTTTATGTTGTTGGGTGCACTCTTGGAAATAAATTCCTCTTTTAGCTTTATAAAGATTATAGAGGAATTGTGTGTTACTGAAGTGGGTTTGCAGCCAAAGATGAGGTTTCTTGAACAGTAATTTTTGGAAGGGAAGGAAAGCCTGGTGATACACACCATTAAATTAAAAACACAAGGCACCCTGGAAGTAAGCTGGAAAGAGACAGCTTAAATTAAAACAAAAAATCAAGTGAAGACAGGTTTTCCATCTCTTGCTAGGATAACTAACTCGAACTCCTGAACAAGAATCCACGCTTTTTTCTGCCAAGCCTCTTTGCTTTGCTACTCCATCCCACCCTCTGCAGTCCCATAAAAAATATTATTCTGTGAGTGCGTGACTTGCTGAGAGAAATTGGTTAACCAAATATGCCTCCAGCATTGCCACAGGTCAATTATTTGCCAGTCATTTGCAAGGCTTGCTGGCTTTCATCTAAGCAGTTAAGACCAGTTAGAATGAAAATGTGTCACTACAGTTGTATTAGAAAAAGGCAACACAATGAAAGAAAAAGGGTGAGTCCACGTACGTATATCTAAAATCTACACAAATACATATGTTTTCACTGATTTATTTAAAAGTGTGTTCCTGTTGCTAAATCCATGAGGAAGATTTTCTTTAAACAAAAAATTGCTTTAGTGATCTGGAATATATCTTGGGATAAAATGTATACTCTCAGACTTTTGTCCGTGCATATCTGAGCTATTTTCTCCCCAGATTCTAACTGTAGAGCACTTCTGTAGTAACCACAGCACTTCTTTACCTAGGATAGCATTGTTAAGGGCATATGAGTCATTGGCCATTAAAGCACTTGGAAACACACTATGTGAATGGCCAAGCACTGCGTAGCCCATCAGCAAAATGTTCTGTGCCCTACTCTTTGGTTACAGTTTTGAATATTACTCTCCTAAGCAAATTGTAGCTGATTTTGTTATTTGGGATTTTTTTTCTTTTTAACCTCATCTATAATCTTAAACAATGTGCCACAATATATTAAACCCACTGGCTGCCCTAGCAATTATCTGAAAATCACAACAATTTGTTTGAAACCTTTTCAGGTTAAAAACCAGAATGATTAATTCTGTTTCCCAGAGAAGAATCACACCTTAATTTGATTGCATCAGTGGTCAGTGAGCTAAAAGACATAAGGACTCACTGGAAAGTATAAGTGATGTAGTGTCCAAAAACTGCTATGAAATCACAAGCCCGCATCGTCTCTAAAGACTGTGGTTAGCGACAGCTGTCCCTAAGCTGAGGAGGAGTTTTAGAGAGCAGGTGTAGTAACACTGGATACAAAATGAGAGTTGTAGCTCATAGAAGGGACTTAGGCTTTGGGGCGAATTCATGAGACTGGGCCTATGTATTGGTTTTTTGCCCGCATTCTCCACCAAAAAGACTGTGATGGGTTGACCCTGTCTGGATGCCAGGTGCCCACCAAAGCTGTTCTATCACTCCCCCATCCTCAGCTGGACAGGGGAGAGAAAAAATATAACAAAAATCTTGCGGGTTGAGATAAGGACAGGAGAGATCATTCACCAATTACCGTCACGGGCAAAACAGACTCAGTTTGGGGAAAATTAACTCAATTTATTACAAATCAACCAGAGTAAGGTAATGAGAAATAAAACCATATCTCAGAACACCTTCCCTCCACCCCTTCCTTCTTCCTGGGCACAACTTCACACCCGGATTTCTCCACCAAGCCCCCCCAGCAGCGCAGGGGGACGGGGATGGGGTTTACGGTCATCACACGTTATTTTCTGCCGCTTCAACCCTCCTCAGGGGGAGGGCTCATCACACTCTTCCCCTGCTCCAGCATGGGGTCCCACCCACAGGAGACAGTCCTCCACGAACTTCTCCAACATGGGCCATTCCCACGGGCTGCAGTTCTTCACAAACTGCTCCAGCATGGGTCCTTTCCATGGCGTGCACTCCTTCAGGAGCACAATGCTCCAGCGTGGGTCCCCCACGGGGTCACAAGTCCTGCCAGAAAACCTGCTCCGTGGGCTCCTCTCTCCACAGATCCGCAGGTCCTGCCAGGAGCCTGCTCCAGCCCGGGGTTCCCACGGGGTCACAGCCTCCTTCGGCAACCCACCTGCTCTGGCGTGGGGTCCTCCATGCACTGCAGGTGGATATCTGCTCCACCGTGGACCTCCATGGGCTGCAGAGGGACAGCCTGCCTCACCATGGTCTTCCCCACGGGCTGCAGGGGAATCTCTGCTCCGGCGCCTGGAGCATCTCCTCCCCCTCCTTCTTCACTGACCTTGGTGTCTGCAGGGTTGTTTCTCTTACATGTTCTCACTCCTCACTCCAGTGGCTATTTCTCCCCGTCTCAACTTTTTTTCCTTCTTAAAAATGTTATCACAGAGGCGTTACCACTATCGCTGATTGGCTCGGCCTTGGCCGGTGGTGGGTCCATCTTAGAGCCGGCTGGGATGGGCTCTCTCTCTCGAACACGGGAAGCTTCCAGCAGCTTCTTACAGAAGTCACCCCTGTAACCCCCCCCGCTACCAAAACCTTGCCACACAAAACCAATACAGCCTAAAACCAAAACAAACTCCATTCCTTCCTGAACTGACAGTTGCCCCACTCCAGCTGTGCACATACACACAGACAGATCTGCTAGCTGTTCAGTACAGGGTCTATTGAGAAATGCCTGCCCCATCTTTAAAGCCTCTTGTGGCACTTAAACTCTGCGGACTTGGGTTTAAGAGCTCTGGAGGGTTTGGACAGTAGTTTTTCTTTGTTTTATAAGCACTACTTTCTAATCATGGTAGAAAAGAGCTTTTTCTTCTGTGTATTTTTTTTATCAATTTATTGCTGAAAGTAAATGCTGGCCACTTCCCATGTGCTGTTCTGTAATTAAAATTTCTTCACCCTTTTTGTCAGTGGACACAGTTTCATATAATTTTTATTTTGACTGCAGCATTATTTTATGCATTACTTTTCTAATAAAATTGTGTTCAGCACCTGCACTATGGTAAAATAACATGCCTCCTGTTTAAAATTGTTCCCCTCCAAGGCACTGAGATCTCACATAAGTGGGATATTGTCTGATAAACTGTAACATCATGTGCAGCTGAAAAAAACCACCCCAGCTGGTAAGGCAGAAGTGGTTGTGGAAGCAAGGGTTACTTCCCATCACTCATGTCCTGATGGCCCTCCTTAGCCTGGCTGGTGCAGTCATTTAGTGGCTGCGGCTGAGGGAACCTCATTAGTTCCATTTGTAGGTTTCATTTAAGGGTTTTCCTCTTGACGGCAAGGCTGTGGCACAATGGCAGTTATTAGTAAGCCCACAGGAGAATTGTGCCGGACATGCCTCTAGATACTGTCTATGGCTATTAGTTCTTTCATTAACCTTGGATTATGGGGAATTGCTGTAAAAGGCTCCACAAGCCTTCAGAGCCAGGGTTTCTCCCCATAAAACCACTCCTTCCTAAAAATGAAGTAAGACATTTTCACTGAGGGGTTTTTCCCTCTTTTATTGTTGGAGCAGGGCATTGTAACAGGACCAGGGTTACCAAAACACTATAACCCCTAGGAGGCTGAAGAGCCAAACTTTTTCAAACCCTTGCTAACACCACCAGCCCCATTTGTGCTAAATTGAAAGGAATTTGTGGTATTTTTTTTTCAGTTACACCATCTTCCTGGCCAGGTCATTGAGAAGGTAGTGAGACCATGTTGGCTTTTATTAGAAAGAATTATTTTTTTAATTTTAGAGTTGGAAAGGTATATTCCTTTGTATAGCCTAATAAACAATGAAGTTGCAGTTAAAGCTAGACATGAAAGCCTCCTGCTACAGTTATTAGAGGCTTTTCTTTAGGTGGGCAAGGCGCATGATGGTCTACCATCAGATTTAACAGGGTATATTTTTTAAGCACCAGGTTTTGATATGGTTCTGGTAGAGTTCCCTGTAAAAGGTACAAATCTAGAAAAGTTCCACATGCATCCTTCTGAAACACACAAACTGTCCAAAGAGTTGACTGTGTGTGTGCTCTTCAGGTGAGAGTCTACTGAATGAGGGTTCCTGCTTGCTCTAGTTTCAAATCCCTACAAAAGCTTTGCAAGTGAGTTTTTCCTCTTGACCCTGTACTGTGCAACATTGTATGTACTGCTTACAGTCCAAGGATGCTTATATTTCAGCAGCTCGTTTTGTATGCATCACAAAATCATAATCTCAGGATCTCTACCATAAATCTTTCAGTATTGCGCTTGCCTGTGAAGTAGATAACCAGAATCTCTCCCATTGCCGTTTTGAGCCTTTGCCAGTGGTTTGCAAGATCTTTCGAAACCTTTCTGTAGAAGGGTCTGCACACTCAGAAAGTGGTTTGAAGTGTGTGGGTTTTTTCCCCAAAAACATTTTACCCACCATGACAAAGAAATTTAAAAGGGCATGCGGAAGCCCACTTTTGCCATTCAGAGCTGAATTGCCTTTCTCTGTGTTTTATTGCATTTTGTTTTGAATGGCTGGCCAAGGGACCGGAGAGTGTCCTTTAGAAAGGAGTTGGGTCGATGAAGCCAGTATTTTACTAACAGAGCCAAGAAGTCCTTCCTTTGCTAACATCCCAAACGAGCTCACATATGCTGACTCTGGTGGTTTTACAGCTCCTCCGACGTTTTATCCGAACTGTGGCTCCATTCACTCCCAGAGACTGCAGCACTGCGGGGCTGTGTCAATGCTAGCATTTCCTCTAAATTGTCCCTTAGGCTGCTGCTTGGCATAGCATCAGCGCTGCCAGCAGCAAGAGAAGCACAGAGCCAGAGAAGCTGTCCGTCCCCCCTGCCCCACCCCCTGGCACTTTAACATCTAGCCTTGCTCTGAGCTTTTGGAGATTGGTAGCTTGGATGTAACAAGATTGTATTTTTGACAGCTTAACATTATGTGATCTATTTATTAAATAGAAAGTGCTCTGACAAGAAAGGCTAACCTTGTTCTTGCCATTTCAGAAGGGGAGTTGGCAAGCACCACCCTTGCACGCTAGGCAGTGTGGTGGCCTGGCTCTGCAAAGCTGATGTTCTTTGTGGGAGCAGATTTTAAGAAAAAATGTTAGGGGAATTATATCCTGCAAAGCAGGAGTTGGCAGGAGATGTAAATATACATCTACTAGGAAGGGCTAGAATGTAAACTAGAGTGTGACTTGGGTGGTCACACGTATATTTGTGACCATGCAAAGCACTGAGTTATCAGCAGGACAAGGGAGTTAATGTCTGCTTTTTAAATCTTTGCATGTTTGTTATGTCCAGTCCCTCCATAAATATGGGGGTGTTCTCCCATGTCTATAAAAAGACATGAGTCATAATCTTCATAAAGTATGGGATATTTCAAATGTATCAGGTTTTGGGTGTCCCACACAAGACAGCTGGCAGGGCTTAATTTTCACATAGTGGGTGCTAAAAATGAAGCTTTTCTGGGTACATTAAAGTTATCCACTTGAAGCAGTGGTTACTTTGCCAGTCTTCTGTCCATGAGGGTATATAATATCATGTAAAACTAAGTCAATTGTTTCTTGCTAGTATTTATTTTTGGAGCCAGTGACTAAGTCAATTAAAAAATGGTAGATTAATGCCAGCTTCATTGAATCAAATAAAACTACTGAGCTCTACTTTCCATAGACCCACACATTCCTCTTTCTGAAAGAAAAAAGGCAGTCCTTCCTTGTAGTGCCTCATTTAAGTAAGCTTTCTCCTATGCTGATGAAGACATGTTAGTGACCTTGTTTAATGCGTTTACTTTAACAGACAAATTTTGGTATTGTCGACTTTCACCTAATCACAAGGTCTTGCACTACGGAGACTTGGAAGAAAGTCCCCAGGGAGAAGTACCCCATGATTCCTTGCAAGATAAATGTAAGTCATGCACAAAGATTGTGCTACTTTTGCTTCTTTTATGCTAGTTCTTCTTTATAACTTGTAGTAGGTTTCTCTTAATGCAGGACATTATCAACAGCTCTGCTTACGGAGATAGAGAGCAGAGGACATTTCCACCTGCATTCAAACACTGCTCTCCTTGTTTTGGCAAGTGTGTATTAGGACTGAGGTCAGCTCTCCAATGAGTTTATAATTCCATTCAGCTTGGAAATGTCATGCCTTTCATGGGGAGGAGCACAGTTTATTTTCATTGCTCATCTAACTGCAGATGTAAAATAAAAATACTTGGGTATATTCAGAAGCAATTCCTGTCCACAGAGACAGATGTTTCTTCTGTGGCAAACAGTCTAGTGACTGGAGGAGAAATCCATGACAGGCAGAGGTCTTTTTCATTATCGTGAGGAGCAGACTTAAAGATGACACATTGCTGTGAACAGTATTGAGAGGACCTCACCGTTACTGTGTACCCAACTGGGAGAGGACATGCCTCTGTGACAACTCCTACCAGGGGATTTGTCAGGATTTTTTTTATGGATAAAAGTAATTTTGGAGCCCTTCAGAAAGATTGTACTGTCATGATAATTTCTCCTCCGTCCTTCAACACGAGTTGTAGAGGTTTAATCTGCAGTCCTGGGAAAGTTTTTATAGTAACAGAAATAATGACCAAAGTAGTTCTGTCACCAGAAAGTGACTTCAAGCATTGAATAAGGAATAATTTCTTTTTGTTCTTTTCTGAACCTCCATTAGTAATAAATGCCATTCTTTGCATTGCCAAATTAGACACGCTTGTACAAGTATTTCAGTTGGTAGCTCCACTTCTGTCGTGGAATGGCAGAAAGACTATTTTTTCAGAAGTTGGAAGTTTTCCAGCCTGAAAATTGAGAAAGGAGAAAACCAGTGATTTAAACTCTCCTGCATATTAGTAAAACAAATATATGTTTCTCTTTTCTGCTCCCCCAACCTGTCCCCAAACAGCACCTTTTAAAATTTCTAAGTGCTCCCAGATGCAGTCTGGGAGGGAAGGAGGAAGAGTCTGTCTGATGCTGGAGCCCTGGCAGTTCACAGTGACGTTCCCTTGTTTTCATTACCTTACAGATTGCCTCAAGGATGTTTCACGCTCTTACTGCAGTCTTGTCAGAGTGTAGGACAGGGGCTCACATTGCTGCATTGGCACTGGAAGACGCTATGTTTCTGGATGAGGCTTAGAGAAATAGCCCTTGAATGTTGCAGTAGCATCAGAATGACAGAAGAATAATGAAGGTCACACATGACCTGGAGGCACTGTTACGAGACCAGCAGTTCCCAGATTTGTCTGCTTTGAGCATGCTTCCATACTCAAACCCTTGACCCTGACTGCAAGCTTCATCTTGCATTTGCGTTTTCCATAGGCTCTTGAGCCTACTTGGAAATGTCAGGATCCCATGGGGACAGAAGGCTCCTACTTCAGAAACCACTGGGCCAGAACCCACATCTTCCCTGTGTGTGCGTGCCTGCTGGCAGTGCAGATACTGATGCAGTTTGAGAAAGATATGGTTATTTCATCAGTATCTCAGGTTTTCAGGCTATGAAGGATACTAGATTTATCACAGTGCCACCCACAGTAGAGATTAATTAAACAGAGTTGAGAATATTGCAAGATACAAGATTATAAAGTGGCACAATTGTTTGAAATGTGTCAGGCCAAACTGGCTTGGGAATTTTACAGAACATTTTCCAGAAATCTTCTGGTGTTCTTTGGATAGAGTTACATCGAATTTTGAACTATTAAGGTCTGAATATGATGACCAGATTGTCAGCATTTGGGAGCAGGTCAACAGATGAAAGAGAATAGGCGGGTGAGAAAATGGAGGATCAAGAGAAGCATCATAGGGCATTTTGTGTACTCCCTGTGAAGCTTGAATAACTAGTGTCTCTCTCCAAAAATACATGGCAGGGGGTTTAACCTTTTCACTTCTGTGAATGTCATCCCTCTCTTCAGGCTGGCAGAGTTAACAAGCTGTGCAGACTCAGAAAACAGCTGCATTCTTTCTCAGGGCTTTATCTGTTGTGAGCACATCACATCTGTGCTCACACCCTCCAGCATCTTGTAGTCAGCTTCTGATACCATCTGAAGTCTTTGATTCTATTTTTCCAAAGCAAGGAATAAGCCAAGTTCCAGATAAATAAAGATCAGGATGTCACATCAGTCTGTGATTTCCCATAGTAACTGCATTCAAGATTACAGAGATCAAGCATATGAAACCTGGAGAAAAGCCTTCTTGGTTGAGAGATCTAACTTGAGAAAACCCTGCCTTATGCAAAAAGAGAAATTATTTTTCTGGGCATCGTCAGCAAATGGCAGGAGCTCTTTCTTCTTAAGAAGATCTTTCTACCATAGTTGCAGTCAAATATCTCCTTTGCTTCCCAGCTTGTCCTAACTTTCTTGCTCTCCCTTCTCAAAAATAGTATCTCTTCTTGACCAAAAAGTAGGATAGTATCAGAGACATAAATAGTCAGCAGGGCCACAGCATGAAATGCTGAGACTAAAGGCAGGAGAGGTTGAGTAGTGAAGGGCCAAATAACTTCCATTTCTTTTAGTTTTCCATGCAAAGAAGGTCCTTTAAAAATGTCTATCATATCCCATGCTATCCATTTGACCATAGTGCTGAAGTAATCTGTAATAAAATACATAGTGTTGCTGTACCCAGTAGAAGAGAAAATGCATTTCTCCTCTCCAGTATTTCCATTAGAGTTTGTAAAGAACTGGGCAGTAACGGATTTTCATATTATTATGCTGTTCTATATCGATGATGCTTTTCCGCAGACCATACTGTATTGTGGTGCATACAGATTCTCCATAATGTAATTCCCATTAGGAAATTGACTTCCACTTGAAACTCAGAGAAATTTATCTTTAAGTTTTAGTGACCTCACCCTGTGAGTGAATCTGAGTGGCAGCAGCTTCCAATATTTTTTTTTACCCTTTTTTTTTTTTCAGTGATTTCTGATCACTTCACATTTTAAAGCAATTGGAATGAATCGTTATAAGCCTTAGTAGTCCTTATTCCTGTTAGTACCAGCAAGCAACTAAACTGCTGATGGGAGTGAAATAAAAAACTATTTGAAAAATTCATACAGGCATTAACAGAAGGACAACAGCTTCAAGTGAGGTAGGGTCCAACTTGCCCAGCATCCTCTCTCCAGCAGAGACTTTACCTGGATGCCTGGGAAAGAGCAACAACAGGGCAGGCATATTACTTTAGTAAGGCAGAAAACAATATATGTTGTCTAGATACATGAGTAGGCACAAAAAGTGTCCAGACACAGGTACCCATCTATAAGAAACACTCTTACCCAAAGTAGTCTCAACAGGCAGGAAAAAGCATACTCAGATTTTTATCCGGATGCCTGAAATTTTTTCAAGACTTACTGATTCCCCTTCTAGTCATTTTCTTTCTTACAACAGGCTAGAAATGGCGAAGGAGGTGGCAATTTTAACACGTTAGTCTTGCTTCTTTTTTAAACTCTGTGGCTTTTACACACCTTGGTTATAACTTAATTTTCTGGGTTTTGCTTTTATTTCTTTTTAATGCAGTGCCAGTGGCAGATATAAAAGCTGTTGTGACTGGGAAAGACTGCCCTCACATGAAGGAGAAAGGAGCTCTTAAACAAAACAAGGTATGGTTCTCAAACTGTTATGAACACATACCCTGCAGAATACAAAGCTTGTCAACTCAGCCTTCCCTGAAGTAATACAGGTATTTTTATTCCAGCCTGCCACTTTTCTGTGTATGCACACACACTTTGTTTTCACATCAGACCAGTTGAGTTAAATTATTGGGACAGCCTACCCACCTTTGCTCAGATTTCATGGCAGATGTGCATTGTGATATGCCCAGAGCACATTAGGATAGTCTTTAGTAGTGATGTCTTCTGCCGATAAAGCTAAGGAGTTTTGACTGCTGCTATAGAGCAGACTAGCAATGACTGTTGGTACCTACTCGTATATTGTCTCTGATAAATAACTAGTTTGTTCCAGATGTATCCTGTGATGAGCTCATGTTCAGTGAGCACTGGCACAGGCCAAAATTGCAGTTAATGTCCAGCTGATGATACCTTCAGGTCCAGTCAGGTAGAAAAACAACTGCCAATGAAAGAATGTAAGGTAAATGCTGGGCAATTAATGAGGTGTGTAAGGATGTGTTCAGCTGTGCATTTGGGAAAAAATGGGTAGGAGATAATGGTCATCTTAAATTAGATTTATGCTACCTTTCAGAGTTTCAGATCAAGAACGGTAAACTAACGGTAGGACTCAAATTGTACAGTGCCAGAATCTTGCCATTTTTGTTAGTAAGAATTGCCACCACAGCAAGAAGAAATTGAGTTATTAGCAAAGTCTGACATCTTTAGTGGTGAAGGTCTTCATACCATATTGTATGAGGTACATTCATAAGTTTTCTATCAGGTCATGCTGTCTGACCTTATGAGAAGGAGTGAGACTCTAATGATGTTCAGTCTGACCTAAAGCCACACGCTGAGGTCTAGGAACCAGAACAGAGGATTTGAATCAGAATTTCTAGTTACCTGAAACTGAGAAATTAGGGGTCCAACAAGAAAGAAATTTTGATGGACAAAATAGTGAAGTTCAACACTTTAAAAATAAGATGCGTGCATTTAGTGTTCAAATAAATACTGGAAAAAACAGTTCTGATGGGAACCATAGAAAATGAAAAGGCACTGTCAAAACTACATTACATAACTGTTGCAGCTCCATAGCTGCAACTTTTCTTTCCTTAACTATACACAGAGCATCTCAAGTGTTCTTTGCATCTGTTTCTCATACACACGAGTTGCTTTAAGTCTATCAGGATACAGTCATCTCCTTTCAGCATTGGCTTTACATGGTCGGAAATTAAAAAATCAAGCCAAGCCAAGAAAAAAAATCCCAGGAGTATTTTTCCTTGTTGACTATCTAAATCAAGGCACTAACACACACGCATGCACACAATAGATTGCATACAAATCCTCCCTCGTGTTACAGCTGAACCATTAACAGCATTTGGCTGGGGCATTTATATGATGCATATAAAGTATTTTTAGTGTTTCCTTGTCTTAGCACTCATATGTCCACACAAAAAGGAAAGATAGGAAGACGGAAAGCAGTGGGTGGCAGTGATGGAAATGTGTCATCTTTATGGAGCAGTAACGTCTAGATAGTATTTAATGCTAAATAGCAATGCTGCAGACAGTTTGTCCTCAGCTGTCAGCATCACCCCGTATCCTCAGCTCAAATTGCTTTGGACTGGCATAAAACTTCTGGCTGAGAATGTGAAGATCAGGAGTTGATATGTGGCATGGCTGTATCCATGGCTGGAGCATTCCATTTGTGACCCAGGCAATAATATTGATGTTTTTATTATTTCTGCTGTGGTGTGGGGGTTTTGATGGTTTGTTCTTTTTTGCCCTTCCTCGATTCCTTGTTTCTTCCCCTGGGAATCATAGAATGTGTGAGATTAGTTGTCATCCCAATCAAACTGTCATGCGCAATATTGCAACTACATAACTGACATCATAGGAATAACATATCATTGTTTGCGGAGTACCAAGTTAATGTGGACAATGAAATGAAAATTTAAAAAAAAAAAAAAGCGCCAGACACAAAATGCAATTTTGCCGAGTTTGGTGTATGAAACCTTTCACTTCCTGAAATTTCACAATCGGTGCTACATTTTTTAAGAGGCCTTTTCATCCTGTGCTTTCTTTGTACATATATAATGACCTCCTTGATGTTTATTCATTGGCAGAAAAGAAAATTGAATGGCAGAATGTCACTGCTATGAACATAGCTGGAATTGGCAGAATGTCCATAACAAAGGCTTCAGCATCTCTTCATTTGCCGTCACATGGCCGTTATTCTTCCAGCGGGACCATTTAGAAATAAATAAGAGTTAAACTGAATTGGAATTTGCATGCATATGAAGCTGGAACAACTTGATAGGACCAGACCTGAATCCATTGTTGGTCATCTTGCTTGTGTTTTTAAATTAGGTTTAATTTTAAAGCCCTCATTTCTGACTCTCAGGTAATATTAATGAATTTCAAGGAAATTAAATATATTAGATTTTGCAGCCTTCAAAACAAAGCATGAGAGAAGAATTTGGAAAAAAAACATTGCCATGTATTTCAAAGTGTATTCCAATCACTCTTTATTTCCTGATGTGGCAGGCTTCAGGCTTGGTGCCTTTTTATCAGCAGAAATGGTTCTGCTCACTTCCCTGTTGAATGCAGCTTCCTTCCTCTTTTATTTCATGTTGGTTGAACAAGTTCCCTGCCACTGCATGTATATAGATAGTTCTCTGGGGGGGATCTTCTGGCTCTGGCAAGCAAACTTAACATGGCTATAGTCTCAGCCTTCAGCAAAGACATGGGCGTTTTAAGGCTGTTGACAACAGAGTAGGCAGAGAGTAGTGAGGTCATTCTGGCTGCATGGGATCACTCAGCTGTAGGCACCTAAAATGCCTGTTCACCAAAAATAGCTTGTCTCTGGCCCACATGAGGAGCCAGTGGAAACTGGGGGAGAGACAAGCTCTGGGCATGGGAGAGCAAGCGTCCCCTCATACCACCTGCAACAACTTTCCCCGCAGAGTTGAAACCAAGGAGTGGGAAGTGCCCAGCCACCCGGTGCAAAGTCTCTTGTTCCCTGTTTTCAGTGAAGCTCAAAAGAGGTACATCGTGGGTCTCAATGCTGGTACCTTTGGCAAGCATCTAGGGAAGGGCAGAGGTCTGACATGTGCAAGGGTGGAAAGAGGGAAGGGAGCAAGTTCAGCAGATTGAGGTGGGGGAGGAGGAAAGTGAAACAAAGAGGGAAGGAGCAGGTTGGAAAGAATGGGAGAGAAAAAAGAGCAGAGAGAAACTGGTGGAAAAGGCTGGATGACTTTGAGAAAGGTTGAGAAGTAGGACAGAAAAGGGAGGAGAAAACCACAGATGGCTGATAGAGACTGACCAGTTCTCCTTTAGGAATTGCCAGTTCCTCAAAATCACCTGTCACTGATGGGAATGGAACAAAACCAGGTGGGGGTCCCTGACAAGTCAGCCAGCTCGACCACTGAGACCACCATCAGCGTGGAGGGCCAGTTGGCAACTCCAGCTCCTTAGGCTTCCTTTTTCTTTGACAGTTTGCTGTGCATGAGGTGACACAGACGCTGGCACCTGGAAGCTGTAATTCCTGAGCCTTTAGTCTCCGGCGCAGCCAGCGAAGAAGCTGAACTGGAGCCAGGGCTGCCAAACTCCCACTTTCCCTCATAAAGGGAAGCTCACTGCCCTAAATGTAGCCCTTTCTCATTCTCTGCCTGACTGGGAGTGACCAAGCCCATGGCTCCCTGGCATATTCCTCTTTCAGACAGGGTTTTTCTCTCCTTTTCCTTTCTTTGAGATAAACAAAAACTTCAATCGCTTGGAATTTCCCAAAGGACAAATATACCGGGGCCAGGCCTATGGGATTGTTGTTGACCTTCATGAAATTCAGGAACATCATAGCAGAGCAGTACAAGCCCTTTTTTCAGTGATAAATTTTATTTTCACAACCTCAGTAGCATGACTTGGCATGTTCTGTCGGTATTTTATAACACTCCATGAGATGATAACGCCATGTTTGTGTGGGCAGAGGTAAATTTGTTTCTGTAATAGGGGACATCACTCTTAATAAGGTGTGGCTGAGAGACGTGCCTAAAACACAGAAAGGCTATGCAAGCCATGAGCCGTTTGTTTGCTGAGTACACCAGCACTATTAGTATCTGCAGCTTCTGTGGGGATTTAACACAGACTTGTCTCTCATGGCCTGGCAATGCAGCAAGTTGGACCCAATAACTAAATTCAAAGCAACCAAGAGCATTTCCCATGAGGAGTCTGATCTCTGATCATCCAAGATTATCCCTAAGGATTGCAAGTTTTGTGATTCAGACTCTGCTCTTAATCACACAAGTTCAAAAATGAAACAACCCTTACTGAAATCCAAAGACCTATGTCTGTTTCAGACCTGGAGATCAGGGGCAGAAATCTAGAGCAACGTATATGCTGTAGTCAATTCTTCCATTTTAAAACTTGGTGTAGCAAATTTAAGAAGCCATGCTCTTGTCGCTGCTGGCAGTGTAGGGACTGTTGTCAGCTGAGAGTCAGCAAAAGTGATCAGTATTAAAGGGCTCAGGAAGCCAAGAGGCGAAAAGAACAGGACATATCATACAGATCATAGTTACGCGTCAGCACCCTCCTCTGTAGCTAGGTCTTTTTTCCACAGAGTTATATCCATATTAGCTAGCCTACAGGTTATGAAATCCTTGTAATGGCACTTGTAGTGATGCGTGCAGTAACCATGATACCACAACATCTTTACATGCTCACTGCTGGCCATTGGAAGTTCGTTATTTATTCAGATCGGTTGGGTTTCCCTGTAGGAACCCAGGTCCAATTGACTTTTAGAGGAGGTCAGTGCTTGATGAATTCACTTTGGCACCTTTGAAATTCCAGCTTCAGCACTGAGGGGGAAAAAGATGTCATTTTTTTCTTTCCTGAGATTCATTTGGGTCTTAAAGTAACCCAGATAGTTCAACTTGACTGAGGCCACTGATTCTGGTTCAGGTAGAAAAAAAATGACAGAAGTCTCTTGAGAATGAATAATTTAATAGATTTCCAGCAGTGAAAAGAGTGTAAGTATATACCAGGAGATTAACTGTCCTGGCAAGATTTTTGACACAGGGAATCAAACCTTGCAGAACTTTGCAAATTTAATCTATACAAATTGAAAAAACTGTGGGTCTTCGTGAAGAGTTTGTTGCAAGTGTACTATTACGCATTATATTGATTTTAGTCCTCACCGCTGCCTAGCTCAAATTTAAACTCAAATGCTAAAGTAATCCATGACCAAGTGAGCTACAGTCAGCATTGACAGGGGTGAGTTTGTTTTGACTGAAGCATCTGTGGTGGGGTTCTTGCTGTGCCAGGGTGTTGCAAGGGTCTGGTACTGCAGCAGCTTTAGCCAGGCAGGAGAGTACCGTAACCTATTTTTCCACTTGTTTGGGGGAATAACTCATAGGAAAGAAAGACAGACCTGAATGTGAGTCCCTCTGTCATGCAGCATTAATATATGTGTCTTTATATTGTTCCAGGAGGTGCTAGAGCTTGCTTTCTCTATATTGTATGACTCGAGTGGCCAGTTGAATTTCATTGCTCCCGACAAGCATGAGGTAAGTCAAGTTCAAAGTACAGAAACTTCTTTGGAGCTCTCTTAGTTGCTTTATAGCAGCAATCAGCTTTATAAGAACCTCAGAATGGTCATCCTGGCACAGAGTGCAGGTTCGTCTAAACCTGTGTCATGTCTCACAACAAACCGAAAGCAGAGGGATCAGTATGGGAGCAAGACCTTCTGCAATTTTTATGCATATCCTGAGCCACAGAAGGAACACGTTTTGTATTTGTACATCATACAGCACATGGGGGTCCAAGTTCAAGATCAGTATTTCTAAGCCCTACTGAAATACGAATTCTTAAGTCAGAGAAAGAAGAGAACTTGGGCAGACCTCACAGTTTCCACAGACCTTGCTCACCGTTTCCTGGTGTAGTAAAGGTTTCTCCTGGTCTGGTCTACCCAGGAGGGTTTTTGCTGTGTGTTCATTTCAGTGAACTTCAGTTCAACACTGAAGATTTGTACAGCCAAGCTCTTAAAGAATCACTGCCATCCTTAGCTCATCTTGATGATGCCAACATAATGAGGGGAGGTGATACCATTGTTAGGTGTCAACTTCAGCCAAAGACGTGTGTTCTCCAGAATAACGTATCCACTTATTCTTAGTTTCCCATGGCTTAAGACCATTCATGAGAGGTGATTATAGAAGGTCCTCTCTATTGCATATCCATAGGGGGTTGCTTTGCAATGGGTCTCACTTGTATGAAGACAGTGTAAATACCAATAGCAAAGCAGAATGACAGCCTCCTCCCTGCTTCCTTGTCTTGCTTGAAAACACCAGGAAATAAACAACATTGTTGCCTTTTGGAAGGCAATGGAACTAATTTACCTAATAATGTGGAAGCATTGGATGTCTTTCTCTCAAAGAATTTCCAAGTAAAGATTTAGGAGAATGCACTATATTAAAAATTAAAGAAGGAATAAAGTTTTTCCTTCTTATTTCTAAAGCAACAAGAGTTGGTGTTCCATTTGCACGCTTATTTTGTGGTATCACGTTTGGTCTCAGTTCAGGACACTGTGTTAAGATGATGAAACATAGAAGATTGCATTAAGCTGCGTTATACTGTACTGTTATTAAAGTGCATGACATTGCATTACAAGTGAAGTGTATTTAGTTACACAGCTTCAACATTTGCAATTCTGGATTAAAACCTTCAAATAAATGTTAATTTTAGGAGAGGAAATTAAGTTATGCTCATTTGGGTTTTCCTGGGGATTAATATTTGAGTGTCATTTTCAAGTATGTTCATTCCAGAGGAGTATTTGCAGGTCAGTTTTGATCTGAGAGAAAGTAGCAATAGGATCCCAGGCATAATGTGCCATCAGAGCTGTAGGTCTAAGCATGATTGTCTTCATCCTCTGAACTGAACATATGTTAGATGCTTTCTGATACAAGTTCTCCAGAAACTGAAGTCTAATCTGTTTCAGCTCATAAAAGCAAATGGGCATGAAAATCGACAAATATTTCAGCCACTTGTATCTCATATATGGCCTATGGCTACAAGTGTATTTTAATGATCTAAATGTTCAAAACCTGCTACTGCACCCCACTGAAGGGCAGTAGCATTGTGAGGTGCACTAACCCAATTGCTCATGATTGTGTTAACATACCTATTATCCTTATTTGGCTTATTGATCTTGTGCAGCTTCTTCGAAACAAGATGAGTATGTTCAAAAAAATGGCCAGAGGCAGCAGTACCTGCTGCTACTTCACAGTTTCCAAATGAATGTTTTCAAAAGGGCATTTCACTTCCTCTGTACTTTTCCATGGCCTATGGAAGAGTGAGTTATAATTAAAGCAAAAAGTACAAGTGTTCAGAGGAAGCACCCACAAGGAAAGGCAAGTAGCATGTTATGAAGCCATGACTCTTCATCAAAGTAACTGGGGTGCTTGTCAGTAGAAGTGCTAGTTTAGCAGTGTTGTCAGCTTGGGAGATTTTGGTGGATTACATCTCAAGAGTTGGAAAGCTTTATGTGAAGCACCAGGAATTATGTTAGTACATGACAATTTCAGATCAGACTTTCAGGGTTTTTTCAAGTACTTCTGCAGTCCTCCTGATTGTAGAGTGAGGTTTGAATGTGGGAAGTAAGTGTGTCCTAAAAAGAAAAATTGAATTAGGATCACAGGATGATTCAGGTTGTAAGGGACCTTGGGGATGTCCCCGGTTCGACGTCCTGCTCAAAACAGGTCAGTGATGAATGAGCCCAGACCAGGTTGCTCAGGGCTGCATCCAGATGGATGGAGCCTGCACAACCTTTCTGGTTATCTGGTTCCACTGACTTGACTCCCAAGGTATTTCTTTACTAAAGTCTCATTACTGAGCCAATATCGTTGAGATTTGGACCTCATTCCTGCACACTTAAGTTTGGCAATATCCTTAGCCATCTATTGGAGCTTACTGCTAGCCAGAGGATTCAGCACCATGAGATCACTCACTCATATTTGTTTTTCATTTAAATACTAATAGCTGGTTTCAGCTACATAGCAAAAAGGTGGATTAATCTTATCCTTGATTTTTGACAGAGAAACTGATGAGGGAGGCTATAATTAGGTTTCATTGGAGTTTTATGAAAATCTGTAGTAAATTAATTTTTCAGTGGCTCTTAGTCTGGTTTGCATATTAAAAAGAAAAAAGCTTCTGAATGAATGCTTCTGTTTTTCCACCATCTCATTAGGATTTCTGTCTGCTCAAAATGTACAGGAGTTTAATTACATACACTTGCCAATATGGCGATTAGAGAGGAAGCCCCTTTTCCAGGCCATTGCACTCATCTGAATTGTGGCCAGAATTTAGTTTCTGTGGGCCCTGAATGAGTTATACCTGGAAGAGGAGAGAACTGCAGCTCTGCTTTCTGGCTCGCTGGGATTCCTCCCCAGAGAAAGCGCTGGCCATACTTACTGAGCAGGTGATGGACAATTTACACCAGGGGCTGCATCTGTTGAATGGATGCTCTGCGCTTCTGTAACCTGAGCAGAGCCTTTTGCCTTTCTCTTCCTTTCCTCATAGTGAATTCTGGGAAAGCTTTCCCAGAGAAAGATTTCAGGTCTATCATAAAAAATTATAGTTGTTCAAAAATAATTACATTTCTAGGACAGATTCTTTCTTTTCTTGATGTTCTGTGTACAGTCCAAAAAAATTGCATGCTTTAGAAGTCTTCAGTGACACGCTTTGACAGCCTAGAATAGGCAGGCTAAGTTGTTTGTTTAGTACTTGTTAGCAGGAAAGCCTGAACCCTGAAGTCTATTCTATATAGCTAATCTCATATTGAAGCTGCAGCTTGGCTTACCGACACTCTGGGTGAAATCCTAACTCTGCTACTGTTTTGTTACTGACTTAAATGGGTCAGATTTGACTTTGAATATTCAAGTGTGTTAACCATCCTATTTTAAAAATATGCCCTTTTTCTGGATGAAGACATACCCCAAGAGGGGGTTTTCTCTCTCTTCCTTAAAAATAATCCTCAGTTCTGCTGTAGGATGAAGTCAACCGTGGCTATCTTTAAACTCGGCTGTATCATGTAGCAAACGGTCAGCTAAATTTAAAATCCATTTTTTGGCATGAAATCTAGCAGAAGTATTTGTAAGATAAAAATGCAGTTAGAGTTGATTTAATTTTCTCCTGCAAACTAGAACACAAGTTCATGATTGAAATCTTTATTTTTAGATGTTATCGTTTGGGTACTTCTGTTCATAGTTGAATAAATGGCTTGTAGTAATAAATGGAAGTGACTTATTTGATAGAAGTTGACTCTAGATCACCAATCTCCCTTGGGTTTGTTGCTTATTTAAAATGGTTATTCAACCCATGTTTATCACAAGCTGTCAGCTGTTGGGAAAGATGGCATCTCCTATTAGGAAAAAGCTAACGGTAAGGAAGAGGTTTTAGTTCAGCATTTGCAGCATTTAGAATTACACCAGGTAGCTTGGCATTTAATTTTCATGAAGGACACAGCATTGACTGACTGTGTAGTTTTCAGAATATGTCATTTCGTGTACAATAGTGGTACTGTAGGCATAGATATGTGAGAGCCTATCTTTGTGTAGGTCAATTGATACCACTTAATCTATTGGAAAGCAAACCACGATAAAGCTAGATAGTTGGTACAGGATTTCTTACACAAAGAGTCAAGAAGGATTTGGGGGGGATTCAGTTCACCTAACTTAACTGTCTTGGAATTAAAAGTTTGGTGTAAGATAATCAGGCTTTTTCTGTAAGTACTGGGGAAAGAGAAAGAAAGAGAGGGGAAGAAGGAGATATCTCCAGAGGTTCATTGTCCTAAGTTAGGTATTGTTTTTTCTCCTATAACTATTGATGAACATGCAACAAGAAGTTTGGAGGAGATAGCAAATTGTCCAACTACTAAATACTGTCATTTCTTCCCATTTTTAGGGAAATGTTTTTCCATTTTCTGAGCAGCTCAGTGGAACATGCATTCTTCATGATACGAGCTAATAAAACAAATCAACCTCATTTTAGGTCTCTCTGTAAGTCCCTGTGGGGGCAATAACCGTAGAGGACCACACCAGACAAGCAGTGTGCATACAGAAAGTCTGTTAATGATAGTTTTTATCTTTTTCCTGTGCAGTATTGTGTATGGACCGATGGGCTGAACGCCCTCCTTGGGAAGGATATGTTGAGTGATCTAACACGGAATGACTTAGACACGCTGCTCAGCATGGAGATAAAGCTACGCCTCCTTGACTTGGAAAACATACAGATCCCAGATGCTCCCCCACCTATCCCAAAGGAGCCCAGCAACTACGACTTTGTTTATGACTGTAACTGAGGCTGCCACTGAAACTTGCTTCAAAACTGGAAATATTATAACTGGAGAGATATTAAAAAAAAAAAAGAGTGTGAGGAAAAAAAGAAACCCACGTGTGCACCTTGGATTTTGGCTTTGGGGAGGGGTGTTGAAACACTTGCATTCCTCCCTGTTCACTGCATCCCTTCTTTCCCCATTCCCATCCTCCCCATTGCTCATCCAAATCCACATTGCTTTAATTAACTTGTACTTGCAGGCCGTGGGCCTTGCTTAAGGCAAAGACTGCCACTAAGAAGCACCCTCCCGAGGACTTTTTTTACATTTTTAATACTGGAATAGACATTCTTAACTAAAGGACGTTGTTATCAAACTGCATGCCTGTGAAACCCACTTGGCAGGGCAGAGGCTTTAACTGGAAGGAGGAGGGAGGTAGGGAGCAGAAGCAGCTACTGTAAGCAGAAAATTACCCCAGACATTCCCAAGAATCTGCTCACAACTGAATCCAATGTGATGACGAAAATCGTTAACTGCTTCCCAGTGCTTGCACCATTCGTCACTGTCATTATTCTTTCCACTGTCATCTTGACTCTTGCCACCAGCCTTCACCCAACTGATCGGCTCCCAGAATGGAAAGTCTGCAGGTTTTTGCTGTACCATATGCTGCAATGCTGCAACAGCTTTTAACTTCTTTTCCTCCCAGCTCTTAAATAGCCCCACACTAGCAGATCACTCACACAAACTGTGTATGAAGCCACTAGTGTGTCCCATCCCTATAGCATTCCCTAAGCCTCAGTTGCCTCTAAAATTGGCTTGTTGCTATTCAAAGTGATTTTTATTTTCTTGGTCCAAAGTTCAACAGTAATTTCCACAAATTAATTACAACTGCCAAACATCCAGGTTTACATTGTTGTCATTGCTACAGTGTTGGAAATTTGCAAGGGATTTTTTTCGTACGGGTTCTAATTTTTTTATTTTATTTTGCCAAACAAATATATTTAATGAAAACTAATTTCATTGTGAGTACTTTTGGGGGACAATATTTTTACTTAATTTCCATTTGGAACATTTGCCCCGAAGGGAAAAAATAATATTTCCCTTCAACTTCACTGTTGAATAAAAATCTGAGTTGTGATGATTCTTGGAACTTTGGTTTTTTTCTGAAGTTGTCTTTTATTCTTTATGGTTCCTAGCAATTCTGAAGTCTTTGGTACAAAGAGGAGAGGGAAAGGTGGAACCTTTTTTATCTGTATCTGATTTAATTTACTTATTTGTTTGTTTGTGGTGACAAGGATGAGCTGCATCCAGAGATCTCCATTGCCATGGGTACATGAGCCTTTCTGTGAGAAGGACCCTTTGTGAAATCCAAAAATCACAGCATACTGATGTGCTCGTGGTCAGTTTAAGGCTGCTGTCTTTACCATGTTTGCTGGAGTAACTGACTTCCTGTATTTCCATTTCCTCCATTGAGAGTGTTTCTGGCTGCAGCAGACTGGTACTGGGGAAGTTTGGGCTTTGCAGGATGGATTCCCTCCCTCCTCATGTTCTTCTAGGTATTTCACTAAGTTCAGTATCCCTTACTCCAAAAGTGCTGGGTCTAGATCTCAAGGAACCCACCAGCCCTTTCCCTCCCACCGCACATGCTGAAGTTCCTCTCCTACTCAGACCCAGCTGAAAAAGACTGCAAAGGGCTTTTATCAGGGCTTGTGCTAGTGAGGGACCTAGAGGGTGGTTCCAGTTTAGACAGATGCAGAAGACCTCAACTGAGGTGAACTTTACTCCATCCAGCTGGCTCTGGGGCAAACATCCTGACTGATCTCACACCAGGTGAGGAGAGAAATGACATCCTGCGGGTGCAACAAAAAGGAGGATGAGGAGAATGTTGTATCAATTCAAGCATCAGGGTCCTAAGGAAGGTGCCTTCCTGAGGCTGTGTTTGCAGTATTTTATGAATGCCTTGATCTAACAGGAGACTTAAGTTGGTTTAGGTGGTAATGGATGGTAAAGTAAGGAAAAAAAAGCCTCTGAGTTAAACGCTGGAGTAGGAAGTTAGAGGGGACTCTGGCCTGAGAGAAGATTCAGTCTGAGTGAGAACAGGGATGTGTAACATGAGGTGTGGGAGTTTCAGATGTTTTATTCTCCGGAGCCTTGTCAGACTGTAGGAAAGGTAGTCATGGTCAGGAATGAGTGGAAGCAAAGGCACTACCTGCCACAGGGGATTTTGGAGGAGTCCTGGGGGTGGAGGATGGAGGTAGGAACACATTTCTTTACAAGACAGTGATGCTGCCTCTTGTCTGTGTGAAGACAAGACTCGGAGCACAATAGAGAATCTGAGTTGTTTTTTTAATCTTCCTGACCCAGCTGGATGGCTTGGCTGTGCATAACCTTTGCTTTTTATTTACAGACTGCAGAGCTTGTGCTTCAGATGGGTATTGCTCGTTGTCAAAAGAAACACCTTTCGCTCCTAACTGGTAAGAGCCAAACACTGCCGGCTCAGTGGCAATCCGATGCCCTGATCTTAGCAGGTGACGATCCAAAAGGAGCAAACAAAAACCCTCCTCCGGGGGAAAACTTGAGCAGGAGAGAAAGGTTAAGACTTGCCTCCCCCACTGAGGTGAGTGCCCCAGTTTGCACCCCAGGAGCCCAGGGGAGGTGGTGGGAGAAGAGCTGCTCACACAGCCCGCTGTTTTTACCAACACCTTGTGCCCATCCGCATTACACCGAGGCACATCGACACCACTTGTGCACCGTGGGGCGCTGGCAGCTGGCTCTGTCCTTACACCCCTCTGGTCTCCTGCAAGCAGGCAACATAGCCCAGCGGCCTGCCTCCCACCCCAGGACTCTGCAGGGTGGACACAGCCTGACTGGGGTGAGGGGCCAGGTCTGGGGCAGGCTGGATGCTGTGGCACTGCCACATGGCTCTATCTCACCTCCTCCTGCAGCCCTGCCGTACAGAAGCCCCATCTCCTCATGTGGTCCAGCTCTTTATATGGGTTATGCATCATGTGGGATGGTCACATGAGCAGGTATGCTAAATTTGTCTCCCCCAACGTGTCCCACCCTGCTACAAGAAAGAAGAGGCTCGAGAGACGCGTTGGCATAATGGCCCATGCAGCTATTTTAAAAGTGCTCCCACAGCAACGTGAAGGGCTGTGATGCAAACAAGAATCCTGCCTTCAGTTTCTAGAGCTGTCATACAGGCTCACTTCACCATTACAAAATTAAAAAAAAAAAGTTTAATGATGAACAAGTATCCCGCTGCTTCCCATTCATTTAAAAAAAAAGAGAATGAAAATGGCAAATTCATTTGCTCACGCTGTTGTGTGTTCCGGAAAAGCTTTTAAGGCTTCACATTTAAGGAGCCACAGCAGGAAAAAAAATTGCTGTTGAAGATTCTTGTATAATTTCAAAACATTAAGTGGGTAATTGCTTGTAAAAGCCATAAAGGAGAGAGAGAACAACAAAAAAAAACCAGTGTAATTTTAGTTCCTGTTTTTGAAATGACTTTGCTTTTGAAAGTGAATATTTTCTTTTACCAGAAAACTTAAATCAAGAAAAATATGTATCTTCTAAAGTCAACTGCTTGTCCTGCTTGTAAAGGACAAGGAGAAGAGCAGCAGTGCTAAGTAATCCTACACAAAAGCAATCTATGTGTCAAAGAGCTTGCACTCTCTGGTCTTTCATTACTGCTTTTCAGAAGCAATTCCGTTTTCAATATGGAGAACTCTTTTATTAAACCTTACAACTTGCAAGAAAAAATAACATTCTCTTGCAAAGAGGCAGGTAAGTGATGACTGTTTTGGGTTGCAAAATGACCATGCAAGATCCTGATCACTTTATTTGAGAAATCTTCTCATGTCTTCATGCCCTACCCAGGATTGCATTTTACTTGCCCAGGGTGCTTTTCAGCAACATTTCTCTCCTGTCAGTTGTCCCAAGTAATGCAGGCATGTCACATGTGTATCGGAATGTGAAGGCTCATATGGAAATCTGGTGGGATCCACTGCCCAGAACAAATCCCTGTCTTCTCTGGCAGGTGGCTGAGGCGCGAGGGAGCCCTGTGTGCCCACAGCAGCTGTGTAGCCCACCAGCTGTGATCACACAGGCTCTGGCCACTGAACAGCTCTTAAAAGAGGGAGGGATGAAAGGGAGGAGAAATGAAACCCCCTCCAGGCAGGGGAAGATGGAGAGAGAGGGGCATGGGCATGAAATGCCCAAATGCCGGTCTGCTTTTTGGTTTATCATTGCATTGGAGTGCAGTGATCAGAGGGTGGCTCTAATGCATCCAGCTGTGGTGGTGCAAGCTGTTAACCCTGAGCAATAACCAGCACTGGAAGATGTTGGGAGTAGGAGGACACTCTTGTACTGTCATATTCCCCCCTTTCTCTCTTTTGTTGCTGCTGCTGCACTGAGAAGTAAATGCCAGTAGCTTCCCTGTCATGTAAAAGTCGTACATCTAAGATGCGTAGTAAGATGAATGTAAGATTTTACCCCATTCTTGTTTCATTCTTGAGAGTCTAAAAAAAAAAAAAAAAGGAAAAAATCTAGCCCTTACTGACCTTGGGATATCTTAGCTGTCAGAAGCAAGCCTGGAATACTAAGCATCTGACATAAGAAAAGAGCCCTTCCCCTTACAGCAGCATCAAGGAGCTGGAAGTGAAAAGGATTTTCCTTCATTCCCTGTTGGAATGGAATGTGTTGATGATAACTTCCTTCTCCAAGTGATAGAGTAGTCAGTGAGGAGAGGTGCTATGCTAGACCTTGTTCTCACCAACAAGGAGGGGCTGGTGGGGAATGTGAAGCTCAAGGACCACCTCTTCCAAGCTCAGGAGTGATGCATCCCAACAAAGAGGAAGTCGGGCAAAAACACCAGGAGGCCCGCATGGATGAACAAGAAGCTCCTGGACAAACTCAAACACAAAAAGGAAGCCTCCAGAGGGTGGAAGCAAGGACAGGTAGCCTGGGAGGAATACAGAGAAATTGTTTGAGCAGCCAGGAATCAGGTTAGGAAAGCTAAAGCCCTTGATCGAATTAAAACTGACCAGGGATGTCAAGGGCAACAAAAAAAAAGCTTCTATAGGTGCATCGGTGATAAAAAGAAGACTAGGGAATATGTGGGCCCTCTCTGGAAGGAAACGGGAGACCTGGTTACCCGGCATATGGAGAAGGCTGAGGTACTCAACAACTTTTTTGCCTCAGTCTTCACTGGCAAGTGCTCCAGCCACACTGCCCAAGTCGCAGAAGGCAAAGGCAGGGACTGGGAGAATGAAGAGCCACCCACTGTAGGGGAAGATCTGGTGCAAGACCATCTAAGGAACCTGAAGGTGCACAAGTCCATGGGACCTGACGAGATGCATCTGCGGGTCCTGAGGGACCTGGCGGATGAAGTGGCTAAGCCGCTATCTGTCATATTTGAGAAGTCGTGGCAGGTTGGGGAAGTTCCTACTGACTGGAAAAGAGGAAACATAACCCCCATTTTTAAAAAGGGAAAAAAGGAAGACCTGGGGAACTACAGGCCAGTCAGTCTCCCCTCTGTCCCCAGCAAGATCATGGAGCAGATCCTCCTGGAAACTATGCTAAGGCACATGGAAAATAGGGAGGTGATTGGCAAAAGCCAACATGCCTTCACTAAGGGCAAATTGTGCTTGACAAATCTGGTGGCCTTCTAGAACAGGGTTACAGTGTTGGTGGATAAGGGAAGAACAGCTGACACCAGCTACCTGGACTTGTGCAAAGCCTGTGACACTGCCCCACATGACATCCTTGTCTCTAAATTGGAGAGACATAGATTTGATGGATGGACCACTCAGTGGATAAGGAATTGGCTGGCTGGTTGCACTCAAAGAGTTGCGGTTAACAGCTCAATGCGGTCAACACTAGGTCAATGTCCTAGTGACAAGTGGGGTTCCTCAGGGGTCGATATTGGGACCAGCGCTGTTTAACATCTTTGTTGGCAACATGGACAGTGGGATTGAGTGCACCCTCAGCAAATTTGCTGATGACACCAAGCTGAGTGGTGTGGTTGACACACTGGAGGGAAGGGATGCTGTCCAGAGGGACCTTGACAGCCTTGAGAGGTGGGCCTTTGTGAACTTCATGAAGTTCAACAAGGCCAAATGCAAGGTCCTGCACATGTGTCG